GCCCCCCTGGTCACGGCCGACAAATGGTCTTCCAGTGTCAGCCGTGGATCCAGGAGGACACCCAAGTTGCGTGCCCTCTCTGAGGGGGCCAAAATTTCGCCCCCTATAGACAGCGATGGAATCAGCTGACTATGCCGAGGCGCCGGCAACCACAGCCACTCGGTCTTGGAAGGGTTGAGTCTGAGTCTGTTCCTCCCCACTGGAGGTTTTTAAAGAGAAGATTGGACAGCCATTTATTTGGAATGGTATAGGGCAGTGGTGGCGAACCTATGGCACGCGTGCCAGAGGCTGCACTCGGAGCCCTCTCTGTGGGCACATGTGCCGTTGCCCCAGCCTTGTCTCTCCCCATGACCCCTTCCTCACCAGCAGCGCCCCTGGAGGAGAGTTGCCCCCGAGCGTGGCCCACGCGGAGCAGCACAGCCAAGGACATGGCAGCCAGGCAGGTAGACAAGAATCTGCCCTCACGCCCCATCACGCACAGTTGATGCTGCGGGGGGTGGGCAAAGGGCGTGGCCACCATGGTGCTGCTGGGCTGCCTGGGCGATCTACGGCGGGCCCTGGAGGCGGGGAGTGGTCCTGCAGGCAGGCAGGGTGGAGGCGGGGCAGGGGGTGGAGTGGGGGTGGGGTCAGTTTTGGGGCACTCAGTCTCTAAAAGGTTCGCCATCACTGGTATAGGGTCTCCTGCTTGAGCAGGAGGTTGGACTAGAAGACTTCCAAGGTCTCTTCCAACTCTGTTTTTCTGTATTCTGTGTATTTCTGTTACAACAAAAATATCAATCTTTGTTGTCTGTGAAAAGAAGCAGGAGAGGTTCCTCTTGCTACAAGGAAAGGAATAAAGAATCTGCCTGTGCCCATGGCTCTTTTATTATGTTGGGGGCTATGAAGGTTGGATTTTTGCATTCTATCAATATTCATTTGTAGAAATGTTATCACTCAGACATTGTTGGAGCAACACTTCAGACAATATTACTTAAATTTGGTGAAGATGAAGTTGTTGCTGATTATATCTGTATTAAGATACAATTACTGTATATAAATAGTTTTTGCCAATGTAATTATTCTATATATTTGTGATTTGTTTCACATTCTTCTATATTTCAGTACTATGAAAAAAATATACCTGAAATTCATCAAATAAATTGCAAAAGGACACTCCGGGAATAGTGGATACTCTAAAATGGAAAAGTTCAGATCCCTGTTAAAAAGAAACATTATTTTTATTAGTGCATAATAATATTTCTTTTGCTACAAATACATTTTCTAACATTGCTTAATCTGTTAAAATTAGTGTCATGCATTAAATTTATATTTTGAATGGCATGAATGGAAATGTCTATGGGGATTCTCAGTCATCCAGGTCATGGTTGTCCCAAAGGTGCTGTTCCAAAAGTCAACTGGACTTTCTTGTTTTGTTTTTTGTTTTCTCTTGAAAACCCATTCTCCACCATTCAGACAGAATTGAAGAAACTTCTTGGATGAGAAGCAAAACGTTTTCAAGAAAAAAAAAACCCAAGAAAGTCCAATTTCCTTTTGGAAAAGCACCTTTGGGACATGAATGGAAATGAATTGCTTTCTCTATTACTATTTTACTTTATTTCCAAAGTGGGATTTGCTGCCCTAAATAACTTGATTGGTTTTAGATAGGTGTCTTTATTTGGGCAGATGGACAGGGATTTAAGTGCATGCTATATTTATCCTCTATTTGTCTATCTAGGCCAATTCTGCCTTCTCTGAGTATTCATGAATATGAATATCATGGTGCCGTTTTTTTCTATTGGGAAATTACTAAAATTAGAGAACTATGTGAGAATATTTGTCCTGAATTATTTAATGCAATGTATAGACTAACCAATTGAGTTTATTCAACAAATCATAGATAGCAAAATCATGCAATTTTAACAAATATGATTTAAGATTTTTTGTTGAGATACAGGTATTCAATTTAAGATACAGCAGTAGGGTGGTAATTAACATTAGGATAGGAAAATTCGCCTTTTGGTGCCAAAACAAAGATTTTCTCTACAGTTATAATTGCCACTTCTTTGATTGGTCATTTTGACCAAGATCATGACCAAGGAAGAAAGGTTTAACCTATCTGTGCCTTGTGATGCCAATGACATTCATATTTTCCCCAGACTGTTAGTAGTAAAGAATCTTTTTGACCTGCTTGCCTTGCTGAATTTTCTTTGTGTCCGACAGTTCTTTTCAGGGCTTTTTTTTTTGTCATAGAACACCCAGAAAGGAGTTCCGGCACCTTTTTTGGATGGAACCTTGTAGAGTAGGTAAGGCGGGTTGTATGATGTGTGTGAGTTCCGGCACCTTTTTTTTTTTTTTTTTTTACAAAAAAAGCACTGGTTCTTTTAGCTCCATTGGGGGCGGGAGTGGAGGAGGGAGAGTTACAAATGTAGTTTCTATTTGGGTTGCAAAAACCTGGATGATAGCTACTTGACACATGCCCTCTAATGGTTATCCAGATTTTTGAAGCTAAGATATGGTAGCCCTACAACAGGCTGAAGTAGGATTCAAAATAAAAATGCTTTATTCTTTATTTCTGCACCATTTTTTATTAGCACAATGCATTCCAAAACAATAAATAACTTGACTCTCATCACTCTTGATTAAAGGGGAAAATTGGTGCCATTTGTTTAAAAATCTACTCCTGAGGAAGGGAAACATCCTGCTAAGGCTTTAGTTAAATTGAGGGCATCTCCACCTTCAGGAAAACTGAGTGACAGTTTTAACTTCCTATCCCATGCCTAGGGAAATGGCTACATCCAAATTACTCTGGAACTCAAGTAGGGAATGGAAATGGGGATTACCTAGTGCAGGGGTAGGCAACCTCGGCTCTTTTATGACTCATGGACTTCAACTCCCAGAATTCCTGAGTCAGCTATTCTGACTCAGGAATTCTGGGAGTTGAAGTCCATGAGTCATAAAAGAGCCGAGGTTGCCTACCCCTGACCTAGTGTTTTAGTGCAAGACAATTTACTCAGTGTCATCTGCAGAAGGCACAAGCTGGTGGCTCTGATTAGGTGATCAAAGTCTTGCCCCTTTTTAATATTTTAACAGTTTTAGCAGCAGGTATGCCAGATTGTTGCAACACTTTCAGTTTTTCTATTCAAAATATGTATTTTATCAGAAGCTTACTGTTATTGATATAGTTAGCCCATCTGGATTATACAACTTGGTTTTGACTTTACTCTCCAAGTGCATCCTTAGTTTTGTCAAACTTAATGTTTCATTGGTACCTGGAAAAATAATTAAAATAGTTAAAGTTATAGTTCCACATATTGTCTGATTATACATTTCAGTGGTAAGTAAATCCTACATAAAAAGGGTGAATTAGCCAGTGCTTTGAATAAAGATATCCTTTTGTAAAAGCTAAAACTAAAAATTTAGATTAGAAATTAGAAATGAGAGCTATCTGCAGCAGATTTTTTGTTATGATGATAACTTAAAACTTGGTAAAGCAAAGTATAATCGAAACTCTTTATCATGGATAGTGTTTAGGTGGAAATAGGGTTGGGTGAAACTTTTCAAGAATAGTGAAAGTGAAAATGAAAGTAAATAGATCTGGAAAACAATATTTTTCATTGTAAGTTATTGTAGGTATGGCAAGGAAGAGAGCATTAAAGAACAAATATTTTTAATAGAATTTCTCAGAAAGATTCCTTCTGAACCCCAGCAGTCTGCTGCTTACCTGAAATTTTCCAGTTTGTTCTATTATTTACTTCTTTTATGGTGACAAAATAAGGAGATGTCAGATTGACAAAATAACCCTCATCTTCCACCATAAAATAGAGAGGAAGCTTTTCTATTGGAAATTTCATCCGCAGAGCCTAAAGACAAATGAACCATGGAGACAGAGATGTTAAAATCATTATATATATACTGTATATATGAAGTTAAGGATCAATGGGACAATCTGTTTTGAGAATATTTTTCCATTTGAAAGATAAAAAGTTAGAGAAACTGACATAAGAGATACTTTGTGTATAATTTTGTATCTCCCTCTACCAATGTCTTACATGGCAAGAATGGGCAATTAATTTTCTCAAGGGACCATGTGAGAAACTGGGATTCTTGTGGAGGACCAATAATTCAAGCTCAAGTCCCCTCATACCATGGCCACTGCCACCACCACCTCCTTAGGCTGCTCCAGGCGAGAGGTGAGTGCTGCTCAGGTGCAGAAAAGTCCTTTGTGACCTTGCCCTCTTGCAACTGCCATGCAATGGAAGGAGCACACAGTGACCGTGCAGAGCTGGACCTGACTCTTCTTCTTTTCCTTCCCCCTTGTGGCACGCTTATTTACATTTGATTTTTAATTTCTGATTGACCTTTCGTGAGCCAGAAGGGACAGTGAAAGGGCCAGATGTGGCCGGATGTGGCCTGTAAAATGCCCAGTCTGCTTTAGAGGCCAATCAGATCCTCAGACAGGAATCTCAGTGATTCCCTTTCTATCCCTTCATCGAAATCATTGATGAAGATGGACTTCCGGTTTTTGTGCCATAGCGCAAGGCTGTGGGATTGAGGAACTCCGCACCCCACAGCTGATTTCGCCCTGCCAGGGGACCCTAAATTGGTCTGAAGTCGTCCCGGAGAGGCAACGAAGAAAGAAGCGTGCTCCGATGATCACGGAACGATGGCAGTCATTCCGCTCCATCTAGGGGAAGCCCTCTGACCCAACAGGAGAAAGGCCAGCTCCATACCAGCGTCTAGCCCAAGCTACTTGCAGCCAAAGTCCAAGAGCACGAACCAGAACAACGGCGAACAGCCTGCTTGGAACTGGTGAGAGTATCGATCTTCTCTCCTCACTCTGTTGTGGAAATGAAGGAACACAAGCCAGCTCTTTGGAGAAGGAAAGTTTTAATATGCGCAGGTTCAGATGGCCAAAGCCAATACAAAGATCTGAACCCCAAGGAGCGTCCAGAGTACACATATATAGGTTATACAACATATGCATTTCCTGACCCCTCTAGGCCCCATATATGGTAATATGTTAAACATTGTGATCTCAGCATTCCTGAGAGTATGGAAAAGTACCAGACAGTTGAACATTGACACAGAGATAAAGATAGTGAATTGGCTACTAAGCAAAGCAAAAACAGGATATGGGTGAAATATGGCTGCAGCAGTCAAGGACAGTTTGAGAGAGCATTATCTCCAGACTCAGCAATTTCTGGAATGCCTTGTGACCGGTCCACCTCAACTAAGTCCTTGGGAAAGATCCCCAAAGTAAAAAAACCTCCAAAAGTGAAGGGAGGGGACTACACCCACACTTCTTCATAGAAGGAAATGACAAATTAACCTTTAAAGTGGAAAGAAATATATTGAAATCAAAGTTAAAATACTACAGTCTGGATAAATCTAGAAATTAAAAAATAACTGCTAAGATTATACCTTAAAGGGTTTTGATGAAACTATAAAAATAATAATAAATAATATTTTTTGTCTGAAATGGCTGGAAAATAAACAACCATTGACACCTAGTGGAGAACTAGAGCATAGAACATTAACAACACTGATTCAGAAATTGGCAAGACCCCCACAAACAAAGAATAATCTGCTCCCTTGAACTTTAATAACCCTCAGAAGACAGCTGGGTGGGAACAAAGAGTACATACTGGGATAGCCATAAGATTAAAAAGTACCTGAAGGAAAAGAAATACTTTGACTGTTGTCTAAACTCAAGAATTGTTTACAGAAAAAGAAAAACTCTGACTCTGGGCTAATCTTTTAGGGGGGAATTTACAGGAAGGACTCAAGATGACTAAATATACTGAACTGCAATTTTGACTGGTTGACAACTGACCCCTGAATAAAAAAACTGTTATAAAATATTGATTTTACTGATGCCTTTACAATTGGAAAAACAGTGGATTATAAAAACTATATATAAAAATAAGAACTATACAAAATTGGGCTGTTTGAATTCTGAGTCTGGCTGGTTTGACAAGGTTAATTATAGAAATGATGGCACTGATGAAGGACTATTTGAAAGGGAGAGACAACATGGATATTGCATGCTTGTCAAAAAATGACAGAAAACCACATTTAATACTTACTCCTGAAGGACCTAGCCTGGAATATCAAAGACCTCCAGAAGCAACATTTCAAATGACAATAGCTTTAAACCACGAGATAAAAAACAACTTTGATGACATAAATGAGCACATCTCTAATCTAAACCCACAATCAAAAAACACTCAGAAAATTATTGTAAAGAATGAACAAATAAATCAGATAACAGAACATAAACTAGAAGAAAATCAGCGAAGCTACAAATAATAGTAATAATAATAATTGTAATGTTGGAATGGACCTTGGAGGTCATCTAGTCCAACCCCCTGCTCAGGCAGGAAACCCTATACCATTTCGGACAAATGGCTGTCCAGTCTCTTCTTAAAAACCTCCAGTGTTGGAGCATTCACCGCCTCTGGAGGCAGGTTGTTCCACTGGTTAATTGTTCTAACTGTCAGGAAGTTTCTCCTTAGTTCTAGGTTGCTTCTCTCCTTGCTTAGTTTCCACCCGTTGCTTCTTGTCCTGCCTTCAGGCGCCTTGGAAAATAGCTTGACACCCTCTTCTTTGTGGCAGCCCCTGAGATATTGGAACACTGCTATCATGTCCCCCATCCTCCTTCTCTTCGTTAAATTTGACATACTCAATTCCAGCAGCCTTTCCTTATATGCTTTAGCCTCCAGTCCCCTAATCATCTTTGTTGCCCTTCTCTGTACTCTTTCTAGAGTCTCAACAACTTTTTTACATCACAGTGACCAAAACTGGATGCAGTATTCCAAGTGTGGCCTTACCAAGGCATTGTAAAGTGGTATTAACACTTCACGTGATCTTGATTCTATCCCTCTGTTAATGCAGCCTAGCACTGTGTTGGCCTTTTTGGAAGCTGCAGCACACTGCTGGCTCATATTTAGGTGATTGTCCACTAGGACTCCGAGGTCCCTCTCACAGTTACTACTATTGAGCAAGGTACCCCCTATACTATATCTGTACATTTGGTTTTTCTTGCCTAAATGTAGAACCTTGCTTTTTTCACCATTGAATTTCATTTTGTTAGATAGCGCCCAGTGTTCAAGTCTGTCCAGATCCTTCTGTATCTTAAGCCTGTCTTCTGGAGTGTTGGCTATTCCTGCCAGCTTGGTATCGTCTGCAAATTTGATGAGCTCCCCATCTATCCCCTCGTCCAAATCATTGATAAAGATGTTGAAGAGCACTGGGCCCAGAACAGAGCCCTGGGGCACCCCACTACACACTTCCCTCCATGTAGATGTGGTTCCATTGAAGACCACACACTGAGTACAGCTGGTCAGCCAGCTACGGATCCATCTGGTGGTGGTGCTGTCTACCCCACATTTTTCTATCTTGTCGAGTAGTAGGTTGTGATCTCCTTTATCAAATGCCTTACTGAAGTCCAAGTAAATTATGTCCACAGCATTCCTCTGATCCACTAATTTTATCACTTGGTCGAAGAATGCAATAATATTTGTCTGGCATGATCTATTTTTGACAAACCCGTGTTGGCTTTTAGTAATGACTTTGTTTGCCTGTAGGTGTTCACTGATTCGTTGTTTGATTATCTTTTCCAGGATCTTCCCAGGTATTGAGGTCAGGCTGATAGGTCTGTAATTTCCTGGGTCCATTTTTTTTCCTTTTTTGAAGATGGGAACTACATCAGCTGTTTTCCAGTCCTCTGGTAGTTCCCCTGTGCTCCAGGATCTTTGAAAAATATAGTTCAGTGGTTCTGAGATCACATCTGCCAGTTCCTTGAGAACCTTGGGGTGTAATCCATCTGGTCCTGGCGATTTGAACTTGTCTAGGCTGGACAGGTGCTCACTTACCATTTTCTTGCCTATCTTAACTTGTGTTTCTATTCTGTTTTTTATGGCACTATTTTTGATAGGTTGGTCTGTTTTTTCCCTTTGTGTAAAGACAGATGCAAAAAACAAGTTAAATAGTTCTGCTTTCTCCCTGTTGCTTGTCACCTTCTTGCCACTTTCACCCACTAATGGACCAATCATTTCCTTCACTTTTTTCTTGTTTTTTACATGTTGAAAGAAGCTTTTTTGTTATTTTTGACTTTGGTCGCAAGCCTTAGTTCATTTTGAGCCTTGGCTTTCCTCACTTCATCTTTGGAGGCTCAGGCTATTTGCTGATATTCTGACTTAGTTATGTGCCCCTCTTTCCACTTTCTATACTTGTCCTTTTTATCTTTCAATTTGTCAGAGAGTTCTTTATGCAGCCATTCTGGTTTCTTTTGAGAGCTGTTATTTTTCCTCTTTGTTGGTATTGTGCTAGACTGGGCTTTTATTATCTCATTTTTCCAAATTTCCCAAGCTTCTTGAGTTGTTTTCCCCTTGAGGATTCTCATCCATGGAATCCTTCCCAAGCCCTCTCTAAGTTTATTGAAATTAGCTCTCTTGAAGTCCAAGACTCTAGTTTGACTGTGTTCTATTGCTTGTGCTTCCATAATGTTGAATTCCAATATTGCATGATCACTTCCTCCCAGGGTTCCTATGACTTCAATACCTTCTATCATTTCATCTCTGTTAGTGAGAATTAGATCCAAAATGGCTAATCCCCTAGTTCCCTTCTCTACTTTTTGGGAGACAAAGCTGTCTGCTAGGTTTGCCAGGAACCTGTTTGATCTTCCACTTGGTGCAGAGTTTGTCTCCCAGTTGATGTCAGGGTAGTTAAAGTCCCCCATTACTATTGTGATGTGCTTCCTACATACCTTAGTTAGCTGACTAGCAAAAAGTTCATCTATTTTCTCTGTTTGGTTGGGTGGCCTGTAGTATACACCTATGGCAATGTCATTTCCCCCCTTTTATATTTATAATGAAGAGAATTATAATTTAACACAAACAGGAAAAAACCTACAAGACTTGGACATATCAACAAAAATGGAAAATATACTTTATTCATCAAAATAAACCTGAGGATAAGAAAGAATACTTAACAAAATGGACTATAGAACTGCCAAGAGAACCATTAGAGTCCAGGAGAGAAAAAAAATATATTTTATGCATTCTATCTTCTCCACTTCCAACAATACTTACAAAAATACAAGAACTTCCTGCAATCAGAATGTATCAATTTGAAAAGCTACCTGGCAAAAGAAGAAGGCCAGAGACAGATTCAAGAGATTTGACTCACCCTACCAGATGGAGTATTACATGAGCAAACACTTGTCTGAATATGCTTAAAAGAACAGATAACTTTGGATATAAAGGGGCCTTACAATAAGAGGGATAAGAGATATAAGTAATATAGTATTTTTCATAATATATAAAATGTAAAAATATTGGGATGATATATGTGAATGAAAAGTTTGAAATTTAGAGGTAAATTAAGTTGAAGAGAATTAGGACTAAGGAAGGATTGAAATACTGAGGGGAAATTAAGCTTAAATAAGAACTTCGAAAATAGGATATATAGTGATATATAACTTTTACAGTCCTAGTGGACAATCACTTAAATATGAGCCAGCAGTGTGCTGCAGCTGCCAAAAAAGCCAACTCAGTGCTGGGCTGCATTAACAGAGGGATAGAATCAAGATCACGTGAAGTATTAATACCACTTTACAATGCTTTGGTAAGACCACACTTGGAATACTGCATCCAGTTTTGGTCACCGCGATGTAAAAAAGATACTGAGACTCTAGAAAGAGTACAGAGAAAAGCAACAAAGATGATTAGGGGACTGGAGGCTAAAACATATGAGGAACGGTTGCTGGAATTAGGTATGTCTAGTTTAATGAAGAGAAGGACGAGGGGGGACATGATAGTAGTGTTACAATATCTCAGGGGCTGCCACAAAGAAGAGGGAGTCAAGCTATTCTCCAAAGCGCCTGAGGGCTGATAAGAATTGTTTGAATATTAAGGGGAAATTAAACTTAAATAAGAATGATAAAAATAGGATATTATGGTGAACTAACAAGATGATGTTTATAAAAACAGCACAAGTTGATAAGAAAAAAAATGTCATACATGGATGTTATTATTTGTACAAACATGAAAAAAATGTTTATATTTAACCATTTATGCATTGAAAATATTAAGAATTATATTTGTTTAAGGTTGAAGAAGGAGAATACTATTGGGGGAAGGGAAGATCAAAGAAATATATTATTAATTAATATACTAATTATGGAAGTACAAATTTTAATTATTATTGACTGTTAATGAACCACCATTTTTTTTTCAAAATATATGAACCAAGACAACATGCTGTACACTAGGCACTAAGGATTGTTACTGTAAAAAATCAATAAAACATTTCTAAAAAAATAAATAAATCATTGATGAAGATGTTGAAGAGGGCTTAAAACAGAGCCTTGGGGGTACCCCACTGCATACTTTCCTCCATATAGATGCAGTTCCATTAAGGACTACACATTGAGTGTGGTTGGTCAGCCAATTATGAATCCATCTGGTGGTGGTGTTGTCTAACTTATATTTTCTATCTTATCAAGCAGTAGGTTGTGGTCTATTTTATTAAATGCCTTACTGAAGTTCAAGTAAATTATATCTGTAGTATTTTGCTGGTCCACTAATTTTGTCACCTGGTCAAAGAATGCAATAAGATTTGTTTGGCATGATCTGTTTTTGACAAACCCATGTTGGCTTTTGGTAATGACTTTGTTTGCCTCTAGGTGTTTGCAGATTTGTTGCTGGATTATCTTTCCCAGAATCTTCCCTGGCATTGAGGTCAGGCTGATAGATCTGTAGTTTCCTGGATCCATGTTTTTCCTTTTTTGAAGATGGGAACTACATCAGCTCTTTTCCAGTCCTCTGGTAGTTCCCCAGTGCTTCAGTGGTTCTAAGATCACTTCTGCCAGTTCTTTCAGAACCTTGGGGTGTAATCCATCTGGTCCTGGTGATTTGAACTCATCTATAGTAGACAGGTGCTCACTTACTATTTTCTTGCCTATTTTAACTTGTGTCTCTAATCTGTTTTTTATGCTACTGTTTTTGATAAGTTGGACTGTTTTTTCTCTTTGTGTAAAGACAGATGCAAAAAACGAGTTAAATAGTTCCGCTTTCTCCCTGTTGCTTGTCACCTTCTTGCCACTTTCACCCATTAACGGACCAATCATTTCCTTCACTTTTTTCTTGTTTTTTACATGTTGAAAGAAGGTTTTTTTTTTTTGTTATTTTTGACTTTTGTCGCAAGCCTTAATTCATTTTGGGCCTTAGCTTTCCTCACTTCATCTTTGCAGCTTTGCAGCTAATGTATTTTGCCTTAGTTATATGCCCTTTTCCCACTTTTTATACTTGTCCTTTTTGTCTTTCAGCTTATCAGAGAGTTCTTTGTGCAACCATGTTGGTTTCTTTTGAGATCTCTTATTTTTCTTCTTTATTGATATTGTGCTAGACTAGCTTTTTATAATCTCATTTTTAAAGTTTCCAAGCTTCTTGGGTCGTTTTCTCCTTGAGGATTTTCATCCATGTAATCCTTCCCAAGTTCTCTCTAATTTTATTTAGATCAGCTCTCTTAAAGTCCAAAACTCTAGTTTGGCTTTTTTCTATTCCTTGTGCTTGCATAATGTTGCATTCCAATATTGCATGATCACTCCCCCCCCAAGGTTCCTGTAACTTCAACGCCTTCTATCATTTCATCTCTGTTAGTGAGAATTAAATCCTGACTCTGTATTTCAGGGGTCTCTAACCTTGGCATCTTTAAGACTTGTGGACTTTAGCTTTAGCTGAAGTCCACAAGTCTTAAAGGTTCAAACTTGGGAAACCCCTGCTCTACTTCCCTTCTCTATCTTTTTGGAGTCAAAGCTGTCAGCTAGATTTCAAGGGAGCTATGTTTGCATACAAAACTTTCTGTGTATCAATAGAAGAGAATATTTGTCATTCAGGGTTGAACTGTGGGATCCTCGGTGCACTGCTGATGTTACCTATTTTAGTAATGCAACATCTGCAAGCTCAGAGGGTACCAAGGATGCACACTACCTGTGTACCTTAGAGACTTCTTGATCCACATTGGGTGGTAACAAATTCTTTCACTTGGACAACCCATTTTTTGGAATTCTTTTTTTAGAGAGGTGTGCCTCTCACACTTTTTAAAAAAAAAATATTGCTAATTAAATATCAGGTAGTTGATTATATTTCATTCTGAATGTTACTGTGTTTTTGTAAACCCAGTCCTTATCTTCAAAAATTATTTCTAGAATGAAGTCCTTTTCAAACACATTGATTTAATTAGGGGGCAATTAATGCTTACCTTCTCTTTACAGTCTGAAAAGGCAACAGAAAATGACAACTTCATATTATCAGCACATTTGCATTCAGCTCGGCTTAATTTGTTAGCACACTGTTTGTACTTTCCGGAGGTCTGTGGAAAAGATATCCATTGAACTAAAACGGTGAGATCAAATAATGACTAAACAGTGATCTGGTTTTTAAGTTAGTGACATTTTTTGACTATCATTTGTTCACATGTAGGCTCCTAAATGGTAGAGCAGAGACGGAAAGGGATTTGCAACTGCTTTTCAATATTATGAGTGACTTGTAATTTATGAATACACTTGTATATTAACATTGTACATTAACATAATGCATAAAAGCAAGATATTTTAAGTTTATTTAAATATCTTAAAAATCATGGCATTCAAAAGACAAACATGATTAATAACCAAAACTTACTTTTGATCCTTCAAAATAATCTCTCATTCTAGGTTTACTTGGATCTGCATTATAAAAATTATCTGTGAGTGGAACAGCAATTCCCATTTCAGATGGTGGTCTATAGTTCACCTATATTAATAACAACAACAAAAACTGTGGGGAATATGAAAATTACTTCAGCATCCTTTTTCTAACTTAATTAGAACTTAATTTCCTATGAATTTCCTAGTATCATTGTTTCCTATGAAATTACCCTGATTCCACTGAAAGTGGTCTTTAAATTGTGCTACAAATCCTAGTCTTCATATAATTTACGTAATCAAATATATATGTGGAGATTTTTTTTCTCAAAAATATTAGCCACCTAGTTGATGCTCATGTCTGTAATTATGATGAAGTGTTGTAAGCTCCAGAGAGAAAAACACTTGGATATAGTAATTTGTTAAAAAGCAAAGAAATGAGATCAACAAACCAACAAACCTCAAATAAACAATAGCCAAACAAAATCTCTAACTAGTTCATAGAAAGCAAATGGATTTCAGGAAATACATATACAAAATATCCATCCAATTCTCACACAAAAGAGGGAATAGGTACATATGTACATATACAAGACAAATAAAGGATACAAAACTTTATACAAAGTTTAAATATAATGCACCCATTTGCTTCCCACCAGCTCTGGACTCTCACTCCATTTCACTCTTGGGATCCCGGAACTGCCCTTCTGGGATTCTGAGAGTCTGGAGTTCTGAAGCTTGGCTATGAATCTGTGACCTAAAATTGATGGGATCACCTGGGCTTTTCTATACTCCTGGAGTTTGGAGAGGGAAATTCAAAGTGCACAGTTGTTTCTGATGGATCCAAAAGCCAGGACTAGATTTGAGTTGTTCTCTACAAAGAGGTTGAAAAATATGGCTTTCAGCATTTTCCATTTAATCTTCAAAAAATGCTTGAAAATGTGCAGAGGGAAAAAATGTAACCCTGGAATAGGCACAACTGCTTTAAGGTTTTACATATAGGTGCTACATTATACTGCTATATGCTAGAGACTAAATTCAAACATTGCACAGTCCTAATGTTTTGTGACAAATAGCTTTGACCAAGAATTTTGCAGTGGCTGGATTTCTGCTTCACTATATAAAATGATTGTACGGTTGGGTTAACAGAGGCGCTGGCAGAGATCAGGATATGAAAAAAAAATGATTTGCAAGAAAGCACAAGGTGGGAAATGTTCAGAATTTCTTTCAATGATACTTCTGAACAGATTTTGTTTATTAAATGTCTATGCTGCCCATTCACTGATACAGTGACTGGGTGGCTTTAAAATAAAACAGTACTAAAAGCAGTTAAAATTAGAAAAAATGAATAGAAAAATTAAAAACCAAGATGATGGGAGGCCTGGGGTGGGAATCTTCTCTACCAGTCAGTCACCTCCAGGCCAAGCAATAGAGTCAAGTTCTTAGGTGCTGCATAAAGCCAGGAGCATTTGGGTGGACTTCACCTCTGACAGGAGAATACTCCAGAGGGCAGGGCCCAGAGCAATAACTACTTTTTCCTGGAACCCACAAGCCAACATTCTTTGGCTGATGGGATCTGAAGTAGGCACTTTCCTTGGGAACGAGTGGGGCAGGCTAGTCCCATCACAATGAGACGGTTTCTCAGATAACATACTTTATCATTGTCAGATTGCCATTGTACTTGTACCTTTTTTTTACAAGTTCCTGTACTCTGCAACTTTTTTGCTGCCTATACTTCTCCTCAAAGTATGGTAAAAAAAAATATCAAGAGGGCAGTTATGAGATTGAAACTCTGTTTTTTATGTTAATTGCACATGCAGTACACATATAAATATAAGCAAAGTTTCAGCAATCCTCTTGTGACCCGCCATCTTGACCTTTTTTATCACACCTTGGGGACTTCACTGTATCAACTGAGAGTTTCTCCTAACTTCTAGTTTCCATATGGAGAGTCAGGAAGCTAGATACTACTGGAATGATTGTACACTGAAGATTGTCAGTTTCTCTCACCTTATTTACCTCATAATAAGTATAATTATGAGGTAAATAAGGTGAGAGAAACTGACAATCTTCAGACAGGTTGCTACGGTATGCAATGCTATCTCACAAATAAGCGAAGCACACTCACCTATATCTTACCCATGGCAAATTTGCTATAGCTGCCTTATCCTTTTTAAAAAAACAAAAATAATTCATTTCCTAACTAAAGGAATGGTTACAATGAAATTCAGTGCCACACTTTGATTCCAGGTTTCTGATTAGATCCATCTCTGAAGCAGTTTAATCTGTGGCCAAAGACCATATTGCTACACCTTTGTTTTTCTCCTGTCTAAAGCATTTTGGAAAATTTTTTAGTATTCTTACCGGCAGAACCTTCAAATATTTTCTGATCTCTGAATTACTGTACTCGATCATATTCTCTGGAGACAGCCAGTCTGATGGAGACAATTTATAAGGTAGAACATAGTGCATTGCTTTAAGGTAGGAGCAGGAACTCTTCAAGGTTAATACAATACACACAACATCACATAAGAGACTGGCATGTGGCAGAATCACAGCTAAGGTAGTTTTACCCTATGGATGATAATTAAAAAGCATAATATTAATTTACCCCAATATAAAATAAATATTTTTATCCCTTCATAAAGCTTTATCTATGAAAGCCCAACTATTAAAATGGTTAAATATCTATGCTATTTTTCATTACAATAGTTCAAGAATTCTCAGTGGGAGAAATATGTCTTCAGTGGTGATGTTCTTTGTATATTGAAATATAGCAAATATAATGCATGCATTTTAAGTGAATGGTTTCATTCAGCTAAAAAGAGAAACAATAATACAAAAGTTATCTATTAAAAATTATATATTGTTGCTTTCAGGAATCTTGCAGTGCAGTCCTAGAAATACTTGGAATTTAATTGGGCACAAGATAGTACATATCACAATTTAAAATACAGTAGTTGGAATGGAACAGATGCATTCCCACCCTCACACAAACTTCTTCAGGCATTCTCCTAGAGGGCAATGGCTTATGTATGGAGAGTGATGGGTCTGTACATGCTGGGGGCATACATCCTTACTTCCCTAACTGTTCTTCCTATTTGAGCAGAGCAAGATGAGTTCTGCTGGCAGTTTGCTTGAATGTGAGTAAAACTCTATTTTGAATTGTGGATCCTGCTTTATCAACATATGCACTGTAATCTCATGAAAAATTATACCATGTTTAAGTTCATATAAGTAGCTGCTTTGTTTCCACCTGAGAAAATCTGAAGGGACCGAAGAAAGGAAAAGACTTGTTTTACATGATGCTGTCTTATTCATTTGAGCATTTCTTTTCTGTTTTGATACTATTTATCATAGCATCTTCTGGACCACCTGCAGTGTTTGGAGGTTTGGATAATTGTTTTGTAGTAGGTCTGCTTTTTACTATCCGTTGCAGTGGAGAAGGAGAGGTTGTCCCATAGCCCTTCATTAAGGTGTACCTCACCCCCTTGCTTTGTAACATTTATATGAAACCACTGGGGGAGTCATCCAATGTGCTGATGGACTATACTATACTATACTATACTATACTATACTGTACTGTACTGTACTGTACTGTACTGTACTGCACTGCACTGCACTGCACTGCACTGCACTGCACTGCACTGCACGATACGATACGATACAATACATACGACACGACACGACACGATATGACACAACATGACACTACCCTACACTACACTGTACTATACAATACTACTTTGTCTCATGAGGAAGATCCTGTTCTGACTTGGCGCCTGGAGACTGTTATGGTCTGGACAGGAGAGAACAGGTTCAGATTGAAGCAAAGCAAGAGGTTTATACATTGTGGTTCTTCTTTGGTGTCAGTGTTAACCCTAAACAGACAGGCATTTCCTGTCCAGGAATAGGGTCATGATTTAGAACAGAGGTCACCAACCTTTTTTGGTTGGCGGACCGGAGGGAAAGGGAAGAGGAAGCATTTTAAATGCATGTGCACGGGGCCGTGAGCATGCACATGATGCAAACAGAGTGGCACTAGTGCACACATGATACTTGCTAGCCCTGCCCCATTCTTGCATGACACAGCACCCCATTTTTGTGCCCTGTGGTGTGGCTCCCTGTTTTTGTGTCCCGTGCGGTGGCAGTGTCCCATTTTCATGCCCATGGCATGGCAGCATCCTGTTTTCTTGCCCTGTTTTTGTACCCTGCAGCATGGTGGCATCCTGTTTTTGCACACCGTGGTGCGTCATCATCTTGTTTTTGTGCCCTGTAGCAAGGCGGCAGCCCGTTTTTGTGCCCTGCGGCCTTGGCGCTAGCACGAGAGGGGTTGTGTGCACGTACATGTGCACACACTGGCCAGCCTGTCCTGCAGCCCATTGGCCAGCAGGCCACGGCCCACTACTAGGCTGTGGCCCACAGGTTGGGGACCCCTGATTTAGGGGTCTTTCTGGATTTGTGGCCAAGAGAGATTAAAATTAAATATGAGTTATTTATGTACTAATGTTTTTTTCAAAAGGCCCTCAAAACTTAGTTATTATGCCTGGGGTTCCCAGGGTACTAAAGATTACTGAGATGGTTCCATTGTTGAGCTGGCCATTTTTATCCTTCTTGTTGCCCAGGGTTTATATCTTTGGTTTTTCTAATATTAATATGAAATTTTACATATTATATCTGTGGTTTTTACATTGTTACTTTATCTGATTGTTATGCAGAGTCAGACAAATATGGAAAGTCCCTTCCTTCCTTCCTTCCTTCCTTCCTTCCTTCCTTCCTTCCTTCCTTCCTTCCTTCCTTCCTTCTGCATGACAATTGGGACTAGAAAGTCTATTGTAGCAGGAAGCACAGAGCTTCCTTCATCCTAGAGTTCACTATCTACCTATGTGGTGACAGGAATGGATTGGGAATTGAAGGGATGACAACCACTGGTTGAGAATACCTGAAGAAGATAATTTGCTTACAACTGTTTGAACTACTCCACATTTATTCTGTCCTGAATATTAATCCATACTGGAATCTCTCTGTTATACATAGTTAATACTCCTTTAATATTAATTCCCTATATTATACTTACTTGTCTCTAATTATATTAAAAATACGAATCTTGGGTAAAGCCATAAGATAAAAACAAATAAGTTCGAACACCAGGATAACATTAAACCACAAACTGTTTAATACAAGTGCTGAGCTTTCGTCGGCCAACACTGCCGACATTGTCACTGTTCTTTTTCTACCTTGGAACAGCAACCTTGGAAACTATTTGTGTAGCAGCAAATGCGTGCCCTTTAAAAATAAAACAATCAGAGATGATGAGTGGACCAGTGACCAGGTTGAAAAGTCGAATGCAGAGTCAACCGGTAATATAAGAGAACTCCCAGCAACCTTGCTTTTATGCTCTGACGATGTCGGCAGTGTTGGCCGACTAAAGCTCAGCACTTGTATTAAACAGTTTGTGGTTTAATGTTATCCTGTTCGAACTTATTTGTTTTTATCTTATTATACCTACTGTATATATCCTACCCCAAGAAGAGATTTCTACTATAAGCAGATCAAATCCAAAATAAGTTTATTGTGCTATATGTATTTGATAGAAAGTGCTGGCATAAACATTTGAGATGTAGATACACAGTAAACTTTATCAAACAGTTGAGCAAAACAGTTTGTGTATTACCTGTTCAAAAAAATTACTGTGAACAATGATACTGAATACATAACTATGATTATCATCCCAGTAATCTTCTGTAGTCATATCCAGTAGGGAAGGCCTTCCAATTAGTACTCTCATCAGATACTGATGAAACACTAAGAAAGCTGTTGGTTGAAACAACAATGAAAATTATATTTATCTTTACTATTTGCTTTCTGCAGAATAATTCCACGTAAGAGGAGGAGCACCTAGTATTTTGCAGGCCAGTTACGCAGATTATAATTTCTGAAAAACAAATAGAGCTAAATAAAGCTGTTAACTGGAGCTAGTAATTACACATCATTCCACATAAAGCCAGATTTAGCATTTTGCCTCTTATTATAAACAAATACACATATGATAAATCCTAGTGCCACTTTCTGTCCCTATGCGGGTATTCAGTCTGCACAAACAATAAGACATTGGAATCATGCTAGCTTGGGCAATTCAACTTAATATAAACTTGAATGAATGGGTTTTCACATTTGCATAAGGGTTGTCATGTGAGAAAACCAACACACAACCATACAATATTTGGATAGTTCTCAACATGCTTCCTACCACCATGTTTGATTTTCCTAATCCACTTGTTTTCCCCTATTTTGGTTTACAAGGCCATTCGTTCTACAGTGACATTAGTGCCATGATAACACTCAAGAATCAAAACAATATTTTATAGTAGGAGGAACTACCCTGCCACTCCTGAAACTCCAACCCATAAATACCTTGTTTAGAATGATTTAGTACTGAGTTCCCTGTGAATGTGCCTTGGGTAAGAGATAGTTCAGTTGGTGACTGTTTTTCAATTGATTGCAATAAGGGAGCAAAACACTTAAACATTAAAACACTTAAAAACTTCAATGGTAAGAAAAGGTTTTACACATAGGGAAGAAAAATCAAATGTACAGGTGGAACCTCAATAGCAGCAACTGCAAGAGAGATCTAGGACTCTTGTTAGACAACCACTTAAATATGAGCCAGCAGTGTGTGGCAGCCACCAAAAAAGCTAATGCAATCCTAGGCTGCATTAACAGAAGAATAGAATCAAGATAATGTGAAGTGTTAGTACTGCTTTATAATGCCTTAGTAAGACCACACTTGGAATACTGCATCCAGTTGTGATTGCCATAATATAAAAAAGTTGTTGAGTGCAGAGTGCAGAGAAGAGCAACAAAAATGATTAGGGGCTCGGGGACTAAAACATATGAAGAACGATTACAGAAATTGGGTATGTCTATTCTAGTGAAAAGGAGAACTATGGGTGACATGATAGCAATGTTCCAATATTTGAGGGGCTTAATAATAAAATAGAATAATATAGAATAACAGAATGACAGAGTTGGAAGGGACCTTGGAGGTCTTCTAGTCCAAACCCCTGCTCAGGTAGGAAACGCTATACCATTTCAGACAAATGATTGTCCAATCTCTTCTTTAAAACTTCCAGTTTTGGAGCATTCACAACTTCTGGAAGCAGATTGTTCCACTGATAAATTTTTCTAATTGTCAGGAAATGTCTCCTTAGTTCTAGGTTGCTTCTCTCCTTGATTACTTTCCATGCATTGCTTCTTGTCCTGCCTTCAGGTGCTTTGGAGAATAGGTTAACTCCCTCTTCCTTGTGGTAGCCCTTAGATATTGGAACACTGCTATCATGTCACCTCGGTCCTTCTTTCATGAAACTAGACATACCCAATTCCAGCAACCATTGTTTATATATTTTAGCCTCCAGTCCCCTAATCATCCTTGTTGCTCTTCTCTGTACTCCCTCCAGAGTCTTAACATCTTTTTTACATCATGGTGACCAAAACTGGATGCAGTTTGTTTCTCTTCTCTGCACTCTTTCTAGAGCAGGGGCTCCCAACCAGGGCTTCAAGATGATATTCCAGGGGATGCAAAAACTTGGGTTTTCAAAATTATAGTGTATATGCATAAATTGTTGCTGTTATTTCAAACTTTTGTAAGGGGTGCGAGCATATATCAGAAGCTTTCTAGGGGTGTGTGGTATAGAAAAGGCTGTTCTAGAGTCTCAACATCTTTTTTACATTGTGGCAATCAAAACTGGATGCAGTATTCCAAATGTGGTCTTACCAAGGCATTATAAAGTGGTATTAATACTGTTGATGCAGCCTAGAACTGTGTTGGCTTTTTTGGCAGCTGCAGCACACTGCTGGCTGATACTGTATTTTTCCATCTATAAGACGCACCCTTGTATAAGAAGCTCTGGCATGTGAGTTTCTCCGCGCCGATCAGCTGTTCAGCGGAGCGCCGAACAGCTGAACTGGCAAATCTGGAAGTTCGGCTGGCCAACAATCTTGCCCTCTCCCCCTGCTAGTGGCAAGCCCACAGGGGCTTGACACCTGCACCAGGTGGCATGGCAACCCACACAGGCATGCCCTGGGCTGCGAAGGTTACCATTATTTTTCTGTGTTGTATGCTGCACTTGTATAGACACACCTGATTTTTGAACAGGGTGTTGCAGGAAAAAATAGCGTCAGAAAAATACAGTATTTAAGTGGTTGTCCCACAATTATTACTATTGAGCCTGGTACCACCTATACTATACCTGTGCAATTCATTTTTCTTGCTTAAATGTAGAACCTTACTTTTTTTACCATTGAATTTCATTTTGTTAGATAGGGCCCAATATTTCAGTCTGCCAATATCCCTTTTAAGCTTATCTTAAGTCTATCTTCTGGGGTTTTGGCTATTCCTGCCAGCTTGGTGTCATCTGCAAATTTGATGAGTTCTCATCTATACCTCATCTAAATCATTGATGAAGATATTGAAGAGCACTGGGCCCAGAACAGAGCCCTGGGGCACCCCACTACACACTTCCCTCCATGTAGATGCGGTTCCATTGAGGAACACATGCTGAGTACGGCCGGTCAGCCAGCTACAAATCCATCTGGTGGTGATGCTGTCTAACCCACATTTTTCTACCTTATCAAATAGTAGGTTGTGGTCTACTTTATCAAATGCCTTACTGAAGTCCAAGTAAACTATATCTACAGCATGTTGTCCTGTCCACTGATTTTGTCACTTTGTCAAAGAATGCACTAAGATTTATCTGGCATGATCTGTTGTTGACAAACTTATCTTGACTTTTGGTTATGATTTTGTTTGTCTCTAGGTGTTTGCAGATTTGTTGCTTAACTATCTTTTCCAGAATCTTCCCAGGTATTGATGTAAGGCTGATAGGTCTGTGGTTTCTGAGTCCATTCCCCCCTCTTTTTTTAAAGATGGAATTACATCAGTTCTTTTCCAGTCCTCTGATACTTCCCTGGTGCTCCAGGATCTTTGAAAAATATAATTCAGTGGTTCTGAGATCACATCTGCCAGTTCTTTCAGAACCTTGGAGTATAATCCATCTGATCCTGGTGATTTGAACTTGTCTAGGGTGGACAGGTGCTCTCTTACCATTTTCTTGCCTATTTTAATGTGTATTCCTAATCTGGTTTTTTTACAATATTGTTTTTGATAGGTTGGACTGTTTTTCCTTTTGTGTAAAGACAGATGCAAAAAATCAATTAAGCAGATCTGCTTTTTCCCTGTTGCTTGTCACCTTCTTGCTATTTTCTCCCATTAATGGACCAATCACTTCCTTGACTTTTTTCATGTTTTTTACATGTTTAAAGAAGCTTTTTTTGTTATTTTTTTTACTTTTGTCGCAAGCCTTAGTTCATTTTGAGCCTTAGCTTTCCTGACTTCATCTTTGCAGGCTCGGGCTATTTGCTAATATTCTGCCTTAGTTATGTGTCCCTCTTTCCACTATTTATTCTTGTCCTTTTTGTTTCTCAATTTATCAGAAAGTTCTTTGTGCAAGCATGCTGGTTTCTTTTGAGAGCTGTTATTTTTCTTCTTCATTGGAATTGTGCTAGACTGGGCTTTTATATTCTGATTTTTCAAAATTTCCCAAGCTTGTTTTCCAAAGCACTAGAAGACAGGACAAGGAGCAGTGGATGGAAACTAATCAAGGGAGAACCATCCTAGAACTGAGGAGAAATTTCCTGACAGTGAAACAATTAATCAGTGGAACAGCTTGCCTTTAAAAGTGGTGGGTGCTCCATCACTAGAGATTTTAAAGAAGAGATTGGACAGCCATTTGTCCAAAATGGTATAGGGTCTCTTGCTTGAGTTGGGGGTTGGGCTAGAACAGGGGTGTCAAACTGCCGGCCCGCAGGTCGGACGCATTATCCAGAAGCCATGCCCACCCCATTGCCAGCAATGGGAAAACCGTCCTGATACGTTGCGTGACGTCACGTGATGTCATGAGTTTGACATGTCTGGGCTGGAAGATCTCCGAGGTCCCTTACAGCTTTGTTATTCTGTATTCTGTTACTGTTTAAAAAATACCATACCATAAAAAATAAGACTGCCTGTTCCTATTTCATTCAACTGAAAGGATTGGATAGATGAACTGTGCTTCACAGAGATGTAACATAGCTAGGTGAGGGTTTAATGTTGTCTATGGAGACTACAATGCCAGCCCATCTTTTTCATTAATTTCTTTTAAGTGCTACAGGTAGTCTTTGTTTAGTGAGTGCCTTATTTAGCAATTGTTCACAATTACAATGATGAACATTTTACAGATTTACATTTATGACGTTTACATTTTACATTTATGACCTTCACAGGCCTGTAAAACAAAGGAAAGCTGAAGTAAGATCACAAACACAATCACAGCTTTAGTTAGCAACCATTTTGCTTAACAACCCAGTTGCTTGTCCCAATTGTGGTCACTGAATAAGGACTGCCAATATTACCTTATTTAAATCCTATTGATTCTAGTTACCTATGCTAATAATTTTATTACAATAATCTTACATTAAAAATGATAAGAGCTTGAAAGGCAATTAATGATTAATTAGGGAAGGATAGCATTTTTTTTTCCAGTGTGGAGTCAATCACCAGCTAAGAAATTTTCCTTCAGAAGGTTGTAGTTGAAATTTTTCAGACTTTTCTACAAATTGAAAAGCAGATGAATGAATTAAGCATTTCAGAGTCCTGATATTCCTATTTTGAACATTTTAAAGATATAAAAGGCAGAGCTGTATATATTCATGGGCTCAAATTGCCTACTCATGAATAGCAGTGAATATTTGCACTGTTACTAAAGACATACATTTAACAAATTAATATTTTCATATTTTAAAAATCTATTGTACACATGCTTATAATATATTGAGAGTTAAAAAAGAGAGATATAAATATATAATTCCAATGGTCTTACCAGTATTAACTGGAGTTACTCTGAATGAAAAATGCAATGTTTGTCCAAGATCCAGGTATTTAATGGCATGGAGTGGTAGATCATCAAACTGTTGTATTACATATCTACATGTGTCAACTACAATTTTCCATTTTCTACCATTTGTTGTGCCAAAGTCATACAGAAACCATTCATCAGGTGGAAAAGAGTAGTTTAGAATCAATTTTTCAGGCAAAGTGATAGTTCCTAAAGCGTTAAGATCATCCAACACCTCAGTGATAAAGAAACTGCTAGTTCCTGGAATCACCACTGTCTTTTCAACATCAGATGCCTTAAATACATTAGTACCTAAAAAAAAAAATCACACACATAGAAGTACAACTGTCATTTAAAATGAGTTGACATTATAATGAATAAGGCTAATTTATTCAAAACTAGTTACCTGACCTATGCCAGTTTCACTTAGTATAAGGAATCTTAGATTTTATACCTTAGTTAACAATAAATGACAAATTTTAACCATAGTTTACCAGCCATGTATGGTAGCCCACTCAGATTAATTCAGCCTGCCATTCTTCTTTAGAATGAGGAAACCAAAACAACAACAACAACCCTACAGGCTTTCTGGGAGCTAAGGATGAAAGCCTTCTGCCTCAGGTGACTCAGAAAATGGTAAATATGTGGGAGGAAAGACCGGGGAAAGCCCTTCAAATTGACAATATGCTAAATGAAGTTCTTAACCACTGTGCTGTTTCAGCAGCACCGGTAAGGTAAAGGTATACTGTAGAAACTTTAGAGTGCATGATAAGTTGTTTTGGATATGTTCACCGCCCCGAGTTATTTGTAAAAATAAAAATGGCAGGACATAAATAAATAAACAAACAAACATTAGCTCAGTTGAATAGGTGATCCTCTGCAAAGTAACCAATGAACTAGTGAGGATAGCTCACAACAAACTATACCCCAAATTGCCCAAATGGTAGCCCAAATTGACAAATGTACTCCAAGAGACAATATTACCTGGAATTTTGGGGCTTCATTATTAGCCTTTTAATAAAGATGATATTAGCATTATTAGCATGGCATCCGTACCTCATTTTGAAGTTCGAGAAACCATGTTTTCTTTATCTAAAAAATGTGGTCTAAAAAGGACTATAGCCACTGGAACTAAAGTTGTAATTCAACAAAAATCAATTTTTCAGACTCAGAAATGCAAAGATATATGAATAAAAGAAAGGCTGATGCGTGTTTGAAGGAGGCAGACAACTGAGCAGTCAGGAGGAGGTGAACAGAACAGAACAGAACAGAACAGAATAGAATAGAATAGAATATGTTGGGAGGAACTCCCCTGATTCTCACAAGCGGTGCAGAGGAGAACAAATAGAACGTGAAGCCTGATCAATGCATAGGTTACACAACTGAACAAAGAACCCCAACTGGCTCCTCAGAAGTGTGCTTTTCCCCTGTACCATTTCTTTACATTGTGTTCTCCCCCAAGGGATTATCAGCTAGCATTTATTCTCCATAGAATATTCTCCAAAGCACCAGAGGGCAGGACAAGAAACAATGGTTGGAAACTGATCAAAGAAAGAAGCAACTTGGAATTAAGGAGAAACTTCCTAACAGTGAAGACAATTAACCAGTGGAACAGCTTGCCTCCAGAAATCGTGGGCGCTCTATCACTGGATGTTTTTAAGAAGAGACGAAACAGTCACTTGTCTGAGATGGTATAGGTTCTCCTGCTCGAGCAGGGGGCTGGACTAGAAGACCTCCAAGGTCCCTTCCAGTTCTATTCTATTCTATTCTATTCTATTCTATTCTATTCTATTCTATTCTATTCTATTTGATGAGAGCAGGACACCCCCTCCTCACCCCAAAGAGAAAATACCTTGGCAAATACAGGAAGAACCCAATACAAATTAGTCTGACTCAGTGGCAAAATAAACAAACACTTAACACACATTGGCTACAAAGTATCAAGTCTAAACCACAGGAATGCAGAACCCGCTAGCAGCAATTAAGATTGACAGGATTAAAATAGAAAGGTACATAATAATAAAATAAATCACACCAGATCCCTCCTGGGGCAAAGATTTTCCTAGACAGAACTGATAAAGAAATTAACCCATCAATAGACACTGACCATAGGAATGTGGACAAATATACCAGATACTTTTCACAGGAGAAGTGATGGTTGCAGTGGGGCTCTTTTTGACTTGAGACTGCTGGAGGCAGTCTAGATGTAAACTAAACAGAACTATCCCTGCCAAATGAACTTTTGGATCCTGTGGGCTGAAATGGCTGAGCAATGAGTAGCCCAGAAGATGGTTGTAAAGATTATGCCCTCACCACTTCCCTTGATCTGCCATCCCCATCCTACTTCTGAAGTGCTAATGATGGTCTAATTCTGGTCTTGTGTCCTCAGGAAGGAGCTGTGAGGGAGCAGAGTGCAAGGCAGAACCTGCAACCATGCAATTTGATACACAAGAGGGAATGTATGGGCATGGGAATAGGGTGGGGAAGCCTCAAAGGTTACCCACTTTGTGAGAAAATCAACTAGACTGCAGACAATGGAATCACAGGGAAAAAAAAAACAAATCAAGACCCAGCTCCTACCTAAAGCAGGGGTTGGGCTTTATGGAGAATAGGGAATTGATCCTGAAGACCTGCCATTCACTGCTTGCCATTTTTCCCTGGGTCCTGGGAAATGTCAGTTCTGATAGCTTAAAAGTCTCAGCAAAATAAACACCTGAGAGAACATGCAGGATTAGGACCCCTGATCATGTTGAGGAGACATTGAATGTGGGTGTGAGAAATATAATTTGGAATTTTAGAATGTTTTCAAGAGATTTGTTAAGTTGGAATTTGACCAATGTTATCCAGCTAAAATGGAATGTCATTCATTTTGTATAACAAAAAATTATGGCTTTTAACATTATAAGCATAACAATTTTTTTCTTATTCTTATAGGATTTCAGATACCACAGTACTACACTTAATGCATTAAAAAGTATACCTGTTCAGAATTTGGAAAATGCTGGTACTTAAGAGAAATATAAGCAAATTCAGAACCAAAAGTTCTTCATTATCAAACAATTGACATACCTGCAGTAGCAAGTTGAAGTTGATATGAAGTAGAATTAGGTTTAGGAGGTAGAATGGTTAAAGCATTTGCTGTACAAGGGCTGTCAGTTATAGATTCAACAGGAAAATGTTCCAGAACATGTACCAGAACCGATGATACAACTCCTGCAGGATTCATACGTGTGAAGACTGTGTTAATTACACCTGATCCTCCTGGCCTTAAAAAAAGTAAATATTATTATCTTGATAGGTTTGTCCCATTGTATTTTATATGTACCACAATTATAGCTTGTCATATGTCATTCTTCTCTCAGAAGCCCTGTAGGTCTGATTCTGCTTTCTGCTTTGGGGTAGCACGTGACAGTTTCTGCTGCTAACACCTGTCTTCTAAGGGCTTCCCATTGGGGGAAATAACCAATCCTTGATTCTCTGTAGTATAAGAGGGAGCACTTGATCTTTAATATTCAGATTAAAAACTTTGGAACAAGCTCCATGATAAATAAACTCATCCTCTGTTAACTGGGGTTTAGTGGAGTTCAGCATGATGTCAGTTTTAAGGGCATCTCCATACTTTTCACTGCTGCTATACTCTCATAGGATTTGTCTGGACTTGTTTTTTCCTCCTGAATTCTACTGTGCATAAGATAAGGGACAAAGCTTGAGGAAGAGGAAGATAAGTTTGAAATTATTTGTCATTGACACATCACAAGGTAACATTTTATCAATAAGTTTTAAGAATTGATGGAGGTTCTATCTTGGCTGTTAGAGGTAGATAGAACTTGGAAAGGAACTATGTCAGTATGAAACTCTTAACACAGTTATTTTTAAATCTTCCAGCCCCCAAAGAATATCAACTAGTTCTTCCTCAGAAAATGGTCTGAAAGAGTTTGACTTAAAGTTTCCTCTATAAGCTGTTCAGATGATGACCTTATTAAGGATTTATTAGGGGTCATAATATCTTTTGTTTTCAAAGTCATCGTATCAAGCACATTGTGGCCATCAGTGTTCTCTTCCATTTTATGGGTAATTGCCTTGAAATTATTCCAGAATTTTTTATTAAGCAGCAGTGTTCTAACATATAGGTCAAACTCCATATTTTGGATAGATTTGAAAACACTCCATGAATTTGCTTACCTTAAGTAACATTAATATAATAATTGAACTTTTATATTTAATTATAACTCTAAAAGTACTGAAATTTCTTGCAAAACCTATCAATAACCTCCATTAATCTGCAACATTTGGATATGGAGAAGCTGACTCAGAGAAAATATTATTGTTTTATAGGAGACTCGTTATGTTTTGAAATGGAAAGGTTTTCAGCATTAAGCACTATTTGGAATGGTTGCCAAATTTGCCCAAGGAATAGACCCATCAAATAGCATATTAGCATATGTGTGTCTTTCTTTACATTGATAACCATTTCTTCAATCATGCGAGCTCTTATAAACCTTCTTATCTTATATTCTGGTCTCCTCCTTATTCATACTAACTTATTCATACTAACAGGAGAACCAAGGATGGTTGTAATTTCTCAACTATATCTGATCATTCCTGAAAGGTAATAGACATTGTATTTGCAGTCAACAGACTTTAACTGACCACAAAAGCCATCTAAATGGACTCTGACATAAAGATCTTAGGTAAACAATCATTTTCCTGACTAGGTTTGGCTTCCATTTTCCAGTATTTACAGAAATTATGATCTTTCTCTGCAGCTTAAATCAGAGCCAAAGCTTATATTGGTTACATAATGACAATAGAAATAATTAATCTACTCTTACTAGAATACTTTCTGTAGTTGATAGCAAATCCCTAATCCTCAGTTGTTTTGAAGTTTTCCAACATCTTATCTACCCAGAGTTTAATTTTAATCTTTTTTCAGCTCCCCACACCAGAAAATTTTGTCACAGAAATTAAAAAAAAAACCTGTTGGTGTCTCAAACTATTAACAAGAAAAGTGGGGGGAAAACTTTAAAATCATAAATCCAAATGGCTAAAACCTAAAAGATTTAAGTTGACATCTTTATTAAGCCCCCTCCCCCAAATCAATATTTTAGTACATGCACATTTCTGTTGAACATTACCAAGACCCAACAGTAGTGGCAATGTAAAATGCTAAAGTAAAATCTTCAAAACTGGGTTCTGAATTAGATTTTTAAAATATTTTTTTAAGTCACAGATATTCACACCTAGCATTAAGGGATGTAAAATCTATGGCTTTTGTTTTACAAGGCCTTTGTTCCACATTTTGAGACTCAAAAGCCCCTGAGGATCATGCCTCTGAAATCTAATGACACTTGAGCATTTTAAGTGGCACAGTATTTCATTGTCTTCCTTTTAAAATAAGAGCTAATATAGAGAAGCCCTTCCCACCCTCAAGAATAGCTGAAAATGTCAGCCCTGCCCATTCTGGACCTTCAGTAGCCTGTAAAAAATTGCTACTGTTGTGCTGACCCTTCAACTAGGTATGGTTCTCAAACCACAGTGGCTGGGTTCATATAACATGCTGAACCAAAATCAAATAAATCATATTATACTTTACCATAATGTACAAACCAGGCCTCTATATTCTAATCAAAAAGAAATGTTAAGGGGGTCATGTGCAGTCTCAATTCTGCATTACTGGAATAATTTAATTTCAGAAGCTGACAAATGTGATTTCATTTTGAAATATAATAATAATAATAATAATAATAATAATAATAATAATAATAATAATAATAATAATAATAATAATAATAATAATAATAAGAAGAAGAAGAAGAAGAAGAAGAAGAAGAAGAAGAAGAAGAAGAAGAAGAAGAAGAAGAAGAAGAAGAAGAAGAAGTTGGAAGGGACCTTGAAGGTCATCTAGTCCAACCCCCTGCTCAGGCAGGAAACCCTATACCATTTCAGACAAATGAATGTTCAATCTCTTCTTTCTGCCAGGTCTGTTAACACTTGCCAGATATATTACAGGTTCTTTTCCTTAAATCTGTATTTTAAGAATGAGTGCTATTTATTTTTAAATTAATAATACGAATAATTTAAAAAACCAAATAATTTATTTTTAACAGATGGTTCTTAAAGTATATACTGTTGGTATTTACTCATAGTCTATGCGTTTTCCACTTTGTAAGTTGGAGAATGTTGGTATAGTATCTGGTGGCCCATGGTGAAAAAACAGCATTTGTTCTTCAGTAACATAATGTGGAGATAAAGGACCATCAAAACCTAAGTCAGTCTCCTGAAACAAAGTGAAGAAGTAATTATTTGGTTTCTTTATTTAGATGTACAATTTTTAACTATTTTAGGGGAAAAATCTAAACTGTTCTTGGTCAACAATATGGCATAGTATACACACACAACAATTGTACTGTACATTCATGTCTCTAGGCAGCATATTGACCACTCATTCTTATATTCAGTCCATATTCAATTCCTATTTATTCACAACCAATTGATCCTTGACTCTGTCTCTTCTTGTTTTGCCATGCAGATACCATTTAACCAACTCGGTAAAAGCTATTTTGTTGTATCCATCTGTTCAATAGAGTTAATATTGGCACAATCTATATAGCTGATATCAGGGGCCTGACCATCTCATATAAACATGAACAGCTGTGACAAAATCATCTTGTTTTACATAGGGCTCATGGTTATGGCTCATGAACCAGCCAAAGGTGATAGAAAGCATTCCTGTAATCATCAGTAGCTACAAAACAGAAAAATCCCAAATGTTCACCTGGTCCTTTAATGGAAGAGTATCCTACTCTGACACTAGTTATGTATTTTTACTTACAGCAAAAGGTTTGCCCATCCACAGTATTAAAATGACTTAGATTTAGGAGTGAGGAGCAAGATAACCAAGTTTTCTGATGCTTTCAAATTGCTCAGATCAATAAAATAAAAGATGAATTGCAAAAAGTTCAGTGATGGAAATGTTATGTAAGCAAATGTAAAGTGATGCATGCTCATCCATAAATCTCTGATTTCATATATGCAGTAATCCAGAGCTGATAGTAAAATCAGAAAATAGATATTAAATCCTTGGTTAACAGATCAAAATGTCAAGCTACTCTGCAACAGCAAAGCCAAATTCCACAGTTGGAATTATTAGAAAGGAAAATAAATAAAATAAAATAAATAAATAAAACTGCCACTTCAATGATACTTATATAGAGTGTGATGGCTCTTGAGATAAATTTTTGTGGAGCCTGCATCTCAAAAAAGATATTAATATCACAGCATGTATTGTATATGAGCATTTAGACAGGCATTCTAAAGATTTAATGGGAGCTAGTGTGGATTTATAACACATAAATCATATTAGACTTGGTTGTAAGTCAAGAACTACATGTACAGATGGAATCCTTGAAGGTTATGACCATTCCAGAGTCCTTCTAAAGTCACATTAATATTTCATATCCAGGTGTTAGAAGAATTCTAGGGGAATTTAGATCTTAAAATTTTACTATGTGTTACAGGTTGTTGTTGTTAATTGTGAAGTCGTGTCCGACCCATTGCGATCCCATGGACAACGTTCCTCCAGGTCTTCCTGTCCTCTACCATCTTCTGGAGTCCATTTAATTTCACACCTACTGCTTCAATGACTCCATCCAGCCACCTCATTCTCTGTCGTCCCCTTCTTCTATTGCCCTCAATCTTTCCCAACACTAGGCCCTTCTCCAGTGGTCATAACCTTCAAGGATTCCATCTGTACACGTAGTTCTTGACTTACAATCACGTCTAATATGATTTATGTGTTATAAATCCACACTAGCTCCCATTAAATCTTTAGAATGCCTGTCTAAATGCTCATAGGCCTTCTCATTAGGTGGTCAAAGTATTTGAGTTTCAACTTCAGGATCTGGCCTTCTAAAGAGCAGTCAGGGTTGATCTCTTCTAGGACTGACTGGTTTGAACGCCTTGCAGTCCAAGGGACTAGCAGGAGTCTTCTCCAGCACCATAGTTCAAAGGCCTCAATTCTTTGTCACTCAGCCTTTGTTATGGTCCAACTTTCACATCCATACATTGCAACTGGGAAAACCATGGCCTTGACTATACACACTTTTGTTGGCAGGGTGTGTTACAGGACTCAACTATAAATCTAATAGTTATTGAAAATACTTAAAAATGGATATGATTCAATAAAAGTCAACAATTTCTAAAACTCTCACTAATTTCTAAGAAATCTCTAATTCTTTAAACAAGTTTTGTCATAATGTTGGCTTATCTGCTGTTCATACAATAAATTAGTTAAATCATATTTTAAGTACATTTAGTATCTAGTTGGAAATAATTTCAGTGTATTTAGGCTATGTGTTTTCAAGGAATCACAGTTATAAGTAAATATGCACTTCATACAATCAAATTGAATAAGCTTTACATAACCGTAACATTTTATAAATTATCTTCAGTAGTATACCAAATAAATGATAAATGTCAAACCTGCATTAAAGAGTTCATATCCATCACAGAAACTGACAAACCATCTTCAGATGTGCTATTAAAACTTATATGACTCAAAATTCCCAGGTGATCAAAGTACATGTTGAAAACACCAAGTGGCATTGTTATAAGCCAGGTATATGCAACTATTCCTACACAGAAAAAAAAAATGTGTGTGTACCCCATCTTACTATCATAAACTCTATGACTTCACACAGAAGTATTTTCAGCAGATATTCAAAAAGAACATTTCTTCTAATCAAACCAAGTGTGCTCTATGTAATCAGGAAACAAGAAATTTGATTTAGAAAGAAGTGAATGTTTTACTCCACAGATCCATGTCAGTTAAAGCAATAGTGTCAACCATCCCATTGGCATATGCATTAAAAGAAACTACTGGGACATTATTTTACCAAGAGTATAACTTTACTGATAATTCCACAGAGGCACAGAAGAAGAGAAGCCAGTTCTGAGGTTTTTGCGGTGAAATAGTGTAGTTAAACTCCCCTTTTCTCCCCTGGGCCACCCACTGTTCATTGTCTACCAATCAATCACAGTCAATTTTTGGGGGAAATGATCTGAAGCCTTGGCACTTCCTCATCTTTCGGCCTTGGGCACCAGGTCATTGCCAGCAACAGTCAGCTCTTGCATTCCACAGGTCTCTCCCTTGCATTCCAAATCTACCCCCCTCCCTGTTTCTGTTGTCTGCTTGTGTGTGTGCGCGTAGTGAGTCAAGCATGACAAATAGTTTCTTAAAAAAATACACCAGTGGACAAATCTACATGTATAAAAGTGCTTCCTGTGCAGAAATGGAGATTGGCAGTATTGATGGCTTCATTTTGGAATGATTCTACGCATTTTATAAACTGTAGTTTTGACTGGTCCTATGTCTTTTGTCTTTGAATCCTGGTCCTTTGTCTTTGGGTAGAAACTGCATAAAATATTAGTGAATGAAAAATATTCAAGAGCCTATATAGAAGATTGCTCTGAGTTTCTTCTATTCCAGCCAATAAGGACCCCCTTTTCAACTCTGATCCTAATGAAAATCAGTAATTCTGACTCTAATTCTAATCCTCTCCTTTGAAAGTTGCTATAATATTTAGAGAAGGGGAAACAAAATAGCAGATACCAACATAATTTTTGTTTCTGTTGCCAGGTCTTTTTCCAACCCTGTAACTCATTTTTTGACAGCTGCCCAGGGATAGCAACTGCATAGTCTTTGTTAACCCTGGCAATGACCAATCCAGTATGGGATTCTTGTCTCATCATGGTTAATGGGTTGTGGGTATTCTTAGTATGGCTCCTCAGTTGACACCTATCTGGCTTGGGTGACCCTTCTGCTAAACTTTCTGGTGGATACCTCCAGCATAGCACTCAACCTTAATAGAATACACAAGCCCTTCCCCCATGACAAGGGGATATCCACATGGAGGGGATGTATTCAAAGAGGAAGATTTTTATTGGCTAGATGCCCAGTTTGATGACAGCATCTAGCCAACTTATACTGATCCTCAAAAGCTAAGCAGATTGAATAGAAGCTCAATTGACCATGCTGTACTAAAGTTATAAGCTAGATTGTAAGTTAAAAAAAAAAAGACTGGAGAAAATCATTGTCAAACCATTTCTATGACAAGAAAACTGCAAGATTGTCTTCGTGAAATCACCAGAGATCAAGCTCAGCTTAAAGGAGCCTACTTACTTTACTCAATAATTAAAGTTTGAGAGAAAGAAAGAAAAATATTAATACAATAATTTATGTGTCTGGTACACAAAGAGATCAGGTGAGTTGACTCCCAGAAATATCAGGCCTAATTCCGATTCTGATTCTCTAAGATGATGATATAAGTGCATAAATTTTCCTTAGAAATGTCACATCTTGTGATTTATGATCTTTTGGCCCTATCTCACACATCATCACAGCTGCACTAATTTACGCTATTTTCTAGCTATCAAATAATATTTTATGTACACATCTGTTCAGCTGGTCTTGAGAGAACTTAAGCTCATTAAAAGCTTCTTACTTTTAAGACTACCAAGTGTTTTATCTTAACAGACTAATACAGTTATTTCTACTTACAATAAACACATTCTAACCTTCTTTATTTGCTATTCTTGATATTTCAGTATTTGATGTTTTATTGTTCCATCTGCCAATGGGGAAAGGCAACAATTTGCATCAGGTCATATGCTGAAAGCTTCACAATTCAAGAGTAATTTTAATTTTAAAAGAATTTCTTACCTGCTTTAGTGTAATAAATATTTGCTTTGTCTGTAACAAATACAATTCCCTGAGTGTAAACACATGAATCTGTGCTTACAATAGTCTCATTAAGCAGTATAATCAAAGGTATAAATGTGTTGCCTCCATCAAAAGAACCCCACACCTAAAAAAAGACAAAATTGAATATACTTTAAAATCACAATGACTTAAACAAACTTTTTAATTACTTTGTTGGAGCTCAGAAGGAAGGTGTGGTTGGAGAAACTCAGAAATTAGGACTTTTTAGTTAAACTAAGAAAGGAAAAAAATGTCCCAGAAGATGGCACTGTTTCCATACTATTATAAAGAAAAGGATAAGGTTGGGTCCAATTTAGTCACCAGGAGTTCACTTGACTTAAAAGCACTTTTAGATTTATTTTACCATATACTATCAAAAAGGATAAATATAAGATTACAAGTCCCTTCAAAAAGTTTTGTTTTACAATAAAGCTCTAAGATCATGAATGCAGACAAACAAGTTCAAAGTAGAATTATTGAATGTAATTTACAAAGTGATCTAAAGATAAATGTATGGTCCTCTTGCCTGAGAACAATAACCAAGCAAATATATTTAACAAGATAATAAAGATACAAACAAAACAATACCACAGAGAAAGAAAAATAAGAAACTAGCACAGTTGTACAAACAGTCTCTGATAAGCTGAGGGATAAAAAGGACAAATAAAAAAAATGGAAAGAGGGGCCTATAACTAGAGCAGAAAACCACCAAATAGCCTGAATTCATAAAGAAGGAATCAGGAAGGCTAACACTCAGAATGAACTAAGACTTGGAACAAATGCCAAAAATAACAATATGTAAGGAGTAAGAAGAAAGTCAAGAAAATGATCGGTCCACTAATGGAAGAAGATGGTAAGAAGGTGACAGTCAGGAGGGAGAAAGAGAGCTGCCTTAATTCCTTCTTTGCATTCTTTTTGTCTTTATACAAAAGGAAAATATAGACCAACCTATCAAAAAACAGCACTGTGTGAAAGACAGAACTGGAATGCAGGTCAAAAATAGGCAAGCAGTTAATAAGAGAACACCTATTTGCTTTGGATGAATTCAAATATCTGGGACCAGGTGGTTTACATCCCAGGTTAGTGAAGGACCTGGCAGATGTGATCTTGGAACCACTGAATAAAATCTTCCAGAGATCCTGGAGCCAGAAGACTGGAAAATGCTGATGTGGTTTCAATCTTCAAAAAAGGGTAAAAAAATGGATCCAGGAAACTACAGACCATTCAGTTTGACATCAATACTTAAGAAAATACTGGAAAAAGATAATCAAGCAGTGGATTTGTGAGCCTCTAGAAAGGAACAAGGTGATTATTGGAACCCAGCATGGATTTCATGCCAGACAAAGCTTATTGCCTTCTTTGATAAAGTGACTAAATTAGTGGATCAGGGAAATGCTGTGGATTTCAGTAAAGCATTTGAGAAAATAGACCACAGCCTACTTCTTGGTAAGACAATGTGGAATAGATAGAACCACCACCAGATGGATTTGCAGTTGGCTGACCAATCCCACTCAAGAGTGTGATCCTCAATAGAGCTACATTTATGTGGAGAGAAGCATGCAGTGGGGTGCCTCAAGATTCTGTCTTGGGCCTGGTGCTCTTCCATATCTTCATAAATGATCTAGATGAGGGGACTGAAGGGGAATTCATCAAATTTGTATACAATACCAAGCTGGGAATGGTGGTGGTACACTTTGGAAGACAGACTCAGAAGAATCTTGAAAGACTTGAGCATTGGGCCCTATCTAACAAGGTGCAGGTCAGTGGTGAGAAAAGTAAGGTCCTACACTTAGGTAGGAAAATCCAAATGCATAGGTATAGAATAGGAGGTATCTGGCTCCACAGTTGTAACTATGAGCAGAATCTAAGTATCCTGGTGGATCACTACTTAAGTATGAATCAGCAGCATGCTACAGCTGCCAAAAAACCAATTCAGTCCTAGTCTGGAGGGATAGTATCAAAATCATGGGAAGTGATAGTACCACACTATATAGGTAGTCTTCGACTTACAACAGTTCAATTAGTGACTGTTTGAAGTTACAATGGCACTGAAAAAGTGACTTATGACCATTTTTCAAAATAATGACCATTGAAGCATCTCCATGGTCATGTGATCAAAATTCAGATGCTTGGCAACTGACTCATATTTATGAGGGTTGCATTGCCTTGGGATCATGTGATAACCTTTTGACAAGCAAAGTCAATGGGCAAACTAGATTTACTTAACCATGTTAAGTTAACAATTGCAGTGATTCACTTAACAACAACAACAACAATAGAGTTGGAAGGGACCTTGGAAGTCTTCTAGTCCAACCTCCTGCTCAGGCAGGAAACCCTATACATTTCAGACAAATGTAGAACCAGTTGTTCACATATTTGAATCCCACCACTGCTCTAGTCCCCTAATCAACTTTGTTGCTCTTCTCTGTACTCTTTCTAGAGTCTCAACATCTTTTTTACATTGCGGTGACCAAAACTGGATGCAGTATTCCAAGTGTGGCCTTACCAAGGCATTGTAAAGTGGTATTAACACTTCATGTGATCTTGATTCTATCCCTCTGTTAATGCAACCTAGCACTGTGATGGCTTTTTGGCTGTCCATTGGACTCCGAGATCCCTCTAACAGTTACTATTATTGATCAAGGTACCACCAATACTGTACCTGTGCATTTGGTTTTTCTTGCCTAAATGTGGCAAGGAAGGTTGTAAAATGGGGCAAAACTCACTTTACAAATGTTTCACAGCAACAGAAATTTTGGGTTCAATTATGGTTGTAAGTCAATGACTACCTGTACTGCATTAGTGAGGTCACATTTGGAATACTGCATCCAGTTTTGGTCACCATGATACAAAAAAGATGCTGAGGTCCTAGGAAGAGTGCAGAAAAGAGTAACAAAGATGATAAGGAATTTGGAGGCTAAAATCCTATGGCTAAAGGAACTATATATGTTTACCTTAATTAAGATAAGATTGAGGGGAGACAAGATAGCAATCTTCCAACACTTGAAGAATTACCACAGAGAAGCGCCTGAAGCACCTGAAGGCAGGACAAGAAGCAATGGATGGAAACTAATCAAGGAGAGAAGCAACCTAGAACTAAGGAGAAACTTCCTGACAGTTAGAACAATTAACCAGTGGAACAACCTGCCTCCAGAAGCGGTGAATGCTCCAACACTGCAGGTTTTTAAGAAGAGACTGGACACCCATTTGTCTGAAATGGTATAGGGTTTCCTGCCTGAGCAGGGGGTTGGACTAGATGACCTCCAAGGTCCCTTCCAACTTTATTATTCTTATTATTATTATTATTATTATTATTATTATTACTACTACTACTACTACTACTACTACTACTACTACTACTACTACTACTACTATGGATCATCGCACAGTCAGCCAGATGTTCAGACTGGATTTGGCATTTTGTCTACCTATCGAGTCCTTACCCAGGACCTGGGATAGGCAGATGTGGATGTTTGATGGTATTACAGATACCGTTGCAGGATGGAAGCAGTTCCTAGTAAGGCCGCCTTTTGTAATTGACTAATGGCAAATTTGTCAATGCCAATGGTGTTCAAGTGGTGCTCCAGTTGTTTTGGGATTGCACCCAAGGCGCCTATTACTGTTGGTACTACCCTTGCTTGCTTTTGCCACAGTCTTTCTATTTCTATTTATAGGTCTTTGTATTTTGTTATCTTCTCCAGTTCTTTCTCGTCTATTCTGCTGTCTCCAGGCACTGCCACGTCCACTATCCAGACTTTTTTTGTCTTTCTTATCGACAATTGTTAAATCCGGGGTGTTATGTTGCAGGTGCTTGTCTGTTTGAATTCTGAAGTCCCAGAGCAT